CCGGGGGCCTGAATTTGTATAGAGCGAACTGCAATATTCTAAAACAAAATATTCTCGCGGGCAGCGAGATAATAAAAGAAAACAAATTTATTTTTCTAAAGAATTACGTGTAGAGCAGAGGCAGGCCTCGGTAACGGCTGACAAAACAGACTACTAGTGATTATTTCACGTAATGAAAGTGACGAGGGCGGATATTTCGGGGCTTCTTTCATTAAAACGTAGTTTTCTTCTGCTGTTGTTTTATTTTTAACTAACGACCCGCCCTTGCTTCGCTTCGGAATCATGAAATTTTATTATTGACTAGCGACCCGCCCTTGCTTCGCTTCGGAAACATTACATTTTATTATTAATAGCTGAGTCTCACGATGTTATTGTCGTACCGCGGGTGACGCCGCGGAGAGAAGCTATTTTAAAAAAAATAGCTTAAGTTACTCCTTATATCATCAGCTACTTATCGGTGAAAGTCTCGTCAAAATCGGTCCAGCCGTTCCAGAGATTAGTCGGAACAAACAGACAGTATGACAAACAGACAGACAGACAGACAAAAATATATATTTTGTTGTATGTACTGTGGTATACATACTTACGCATTTAGTAAAAAATGGTTATTTTATTATTACAAATAGACACTCCAATTTTATTGATTTGTATAGATTAGGTAATGCTATAACTGTCTAGCATTTAACGGATTTGGTTTCATTGCTATGTTGTCCGAATTGGTACTGTCCGCCCTGACTATTTCTGCCGCGAGGAATTGAGACGCATCCGGTACGAAAGAATAGGAAGGCCGTTATTTCGGTGTCTTCTTCTGTTCTTTCTGCATAATCTTTTTCTGCATAATCAGATCAGATCAGAGGCTCTTAGAAACGTCTTCCTGTTTCAAAATGATAGTCCACTTGGAATTTATCGGTAGTAAAATTTTACCTTTTTTTATTGTCCGAGCAGGCAGACGAGCATACGGCCCACCTGATGACAAGTGGTTACCGTCGCTCATAGACGTCAGCAATGCCAGGGATAGAACCAAGCTGCTGCCTACCGCTTAGGCTAAACCTAACATTTATCGGTACTAAACCTTGCTTTTTTTTTTATTGCTTAGATGTGTGGACGAGCTCACAGCCCACCTGGTGTTAAGTGGTTACTGGAGCCCATAGACATCTACAACGTAAATGCGCCACACACCTTGAGATATAGTTCTAAGGTCTCAGTATAGTCACAACGGCTGCCCCACCCTTCAAACCGAAACGCATTACTGCTTCACGGCAGAAATAGGCGGGGCGGTGGTACCTACCCGTGCGGACTCACAAGAGGTCCTACCACCAGTAATTACGCAAATTATAATTTTGTGGGTTTGATTTTTATTGCACGATGTTATTCCTTCACCGTGGAAGTCAATCGTGAACATTTGTTTGTACGTATTTCATTAGAAAAATTGGTACCCGCCAGCGAGATTCGAACACCATTGCATCGCTCGATACGAATGCACCGGACGTCTTATCCTTTAGGCTACGACGACTTCAAAAGATCCCTGCTTACAAGATTTTTTTATTAAATACTACCTAACAGATACAATCTAAAATAATTTTAGAGTACACTTAACACAAAAAAATGCATGGCATTTCCTTCTTCGAACAAAATTACATTAGGTGTTCTTAATTTTAAAAAAATAGATGTCTATGGAGAACAATTTTCAAAATACCGATTAAAATTTTTGGACAACACACATTTATTCTGAAATCATTACTGATGACTGATGACTGAAGTCTTTTTAAATAACGTACATGATAATATTGGAAAGATATGCTCTTAAAATGCTAGTAAAACTTTTAGTATCCCAATAAGGCCTTGCCGTGAGTTAATGTAAGTGCACCCTCTCATTGCAAGCTGAGGTTTATACGCAGTGACGTCACTTACACGTCTATAAAACAGTAGAGCTCAAAATTATACACGTCTCGTAAAACCATATTATGTATTTGAAAATCTAGGTTGGTATTTAAAAATTACACAAATCAATATATTTTTTAATATTTCGAGTATTTCTCATGTTTCGACTTGACCCATCTCATATAAACTACGGAGGTATACTCAAGGTATTACTATTATTAAATTGGAATTAGATTAGTATTGGTATTATATTATTGGTATATAAAAGTAGGTATATTATTTTCTGAATATCTTGTCTATTTTGTCAAATAAATGAAAGTCTTTATGTAATTATTTGTGGTATATTGTATTTACGAGAAAGAAAGTGCATTTCATTTTAATGAAAGAAAGTGCATTTCATTTTAATTTTAGTATGTTAATCTCAAAAATTATATTTCCAATCACTTGAATTAAGAACGATGAAATGAAATTAAATTAAATTGATCAAAATTTAAATACAAAAATGTGGTCATTGCATTAGACAAGTCCTATTTAAAAACAATTTTTGTGTGCCATTTATCCGAAACCAAATTAAATTTAAGGTTTTACTACTTTACTGATGTCGTCGTGGCCTAAAGGATAACACGTCCGGTGTATTCGTGTTGAGCGATACACCGGTGTTCGAATCTCAGGCGGGTACCAATTTTTCTAATGAAATACGTACTTAGCAAATGTTCATGATTGACTTCCACGGTGAAGGAATAACATCGTGTAATAAAAATCAAACCCGTAAAATTATAATTTGCGTAATTACTGGTGGTAGGACCTCTTGTGAGTCCGCGCGGGTAGGTACCACCACCCTGCCTATTTCTGCCGTGAAGCAGTAATGCGTTTCGGCTTGAAGGGTGGGGCAGCCGTTGTAACTATACTTGAGACCTTGGAACTTATATCTCAAGGTGGGCGGCGCATTTATGCTGTAGATGTCTATGGGTTCCAGTAACCACTTAACACCAGGTGGGCTGTGAGCTCGTCCACCCATCTAAGCAATAAAAAAAATTGTAATGAGTTTTAAAAAGATATGCATGTTCTTTTAAGTATACGTATTTATTTTGTTGATCCCGTTCAATACATGGGCTCATATCCGATCATAAACTAAATGTGATTTGAAAATGCCAACATTTGTTAGTCGAAATGACGAAACGCAACAGTAACAAATGTTTTACGAGTGAAACCCTCGTTAAAGCCGTCATTTGTTTTGCCTGAATTCAGTTACGTAAATGTATTAAGCAGGCTACCTCCTCGCCTCGGACAACTCCCAGCTCTTTTAATCACCGATTACAACGGATAGCAAACATTGTGTTATTTCTATAACATAAATTATACTTAAGTAAATTGTTTAAATAATTCGGTTTATACTGTTATTTATTATATTTTAAGAATGTAAGTGATGTCGTAGAAATATGATAATAAATTTTCTACACTTTTAACGGTGCTTTTAGGCACCACAAGCACCGGTCACCGTCCTCGTCGAACCCGTCGCTTGCGACGAAGGGCTCGACGAGCGAATTAACCCATAGACACAGCCCACTGAGTTTCTCGCCGGATCTTCTCAGTGGGTCGCGTTTCCGATCCGGTGGTAGATTCTGCGAAGCACTGCTCTTGCTAGGGTCAGTGTTAGCAACACTCCGGTTTGAGCCCCGTGAGTTCACCTACACACGTTAGGGTGAAGCTGAAATAGCCTCTCAAGGCCATCAGCATAGGTAGAAAAAAGAAAAAAAAACTAAACTTTTAATGCCTTCCTGTTACTTCATAACTTTCTACATTGTATCTAACTGCCGTGAGCTCTGCTGTGTGCTTAGTGCGAGTTTTTTAAAGTTCTCGAGAGCGTAAAAGTTAACTCAAATTTACTTAAATTAAATTTATCAAATTTACTTAAATTGTAGATGTCTATGGGCTCCAAACACCACTTAACACCAGGTGGGCTGTGAGCTCGTCCACACATCTAAGCAATAAAACAAAAAACATGCAGTTGGAACAGCGCCCCTAGGGGAAAATGTAGGCAAACGTTCCAACTCAACGCAATCGAGAGAGAACGTTAAGAAACTCGCACTAAGCACACTGCTGATTTTCCACAATGAATTTTAATTTTGCTACGCATTGCATAAACTGAACTAATGCGATCGCGTGCCTCGTTACCAGCCTTTAGAAGCTTTTAGCTTTTAGAATATTCACACTTATCGGACAGCTTAGAGATATTTATTTATAATATAAGTTTTAAGGTCCCAAGGTCCACATTTAATTTTCGTATTTGAGGTTTGAACATCTTCTAAAATGACCATACCTTTTACTGGAATGATCTTGTGTTTTGTGATATTTTTCCTCACTAAGGTGCCCTTAATTCTGCTATCAACACTGTAGGATGAATACTACATACAACGCACACAACAATAACATCTCGGTCGGTCGAGCACAAAAGTTGTAAAATAGTCTAAACGTCAATAATATTATTATAATAAAAACAATTAACGCGAAATTAAACAGTAAAATTAGTTTAATTTTCTCATAGATCGTAATGATTAAATATACTTTCTTCTATATTTTATAACGTTTTGTCGTGCCTTTGCAAGCCAGAGCGCCATTCAAAATTATTTATAATTAGAGTATATGATCTCATGGCAACCTGGTGTTCAAGGGATTACCGGAGTCCATAGGCATTCTTCTCAGTATTCGTATTACGGCTGTATCACTCTTCAAACTAAAACACATTACTACTTCGGGCCAGAAATAGGCAATAATATACTCGTGTGGGCTTCTAGATGCTCTGGTTATTACTGGTGGTGACTAGTATTAATGCAATCTATCAAGGGGTTTGATTTTTATTGCACGGTGTTTTATTCCTTCGTCGTAGAAGTCATTACCTACTGGATCATGTCTCAGATACATATTTCATTAGAACAAATGGTACTTGCCTGCGCTATTGAACACCGGCACGGTCGCATCAGTCGATATGAATGCACCGGGTTTCTTATCCTTTAGGCTATGGCGACATCAATTTATAGGTCTTTATTGGAAAGTTTAATAGAATTAAAACAAAAAACTGATTATATCTTAAAAACTGAAGTCAGATAAAGGTTACTCACCTATGCTCTGGCTGACCCAAATACCCAACATATCGAGTTGTAGTAGGCGATGGTAAAGGCTCTCTCCTCGAGCGTGGTTCATAAACAGATGGTACAAGAAGGAGCCGCACCAAGGCGCTAGAGCCCCGAGAAGATGGCAGAGAGATAGGAACCACGCACCGCCTCCACCCCAAGGCAGCAACCATGGAAGAACTGCCAGGATGTACAGCAAAGATATCCCTGAAAACAAATAAGAATATGTTATAAACTTTTTATTTTTATTTTTCTTACCTTGTCTTCGGTAAAAAACTGAACCAGGGTGCCGAGTATTAATTGCAGTAGGCAGGTTATAGTAAAAAAAAATACATGCCTATCATATTTTCATTACGATGAAGGAACAATCATTTCGTAAAAATCAAAACCAAAAAATAATAACTTTGCGTATTCACTTTAGATAGAAGCTATCGAGCCTTCAACCTTATCTACATATCAAGTTAGGTGTCGACATTTTTTTTTATTGTTTAGATGGGTAGACGAGCTCACAGCCCACCTGGTGTTAAGTGCATACAATGTGTTTCTGCTAAATAATAGCAGAATAATGTTTTTTGTCCTCATTAGGATTAATGCAAAACTTCGTCAAATAAAAGCATTTTTAAATTATTACTTTTCTATTCCAACCCTGTGGATATTAAGTGGATACCGAAGTTTATAAACATTAACTTACTGGTGATAAGCCCTCTTGTGAGTACGCGCGGGTGGGTACCACCATCCTGCCTATTTCTGCCGTGAAGCAGTAATGCGTTTCGGTTTGAAGGGTGGGGCAGCCGCTGTAACTATACTAGAGACCTTAGAGCTTATATCTCAAGTTGGGTGGCGCATTTACGTTGCGGAAGTCTATGGGCTCCAGTAACCACTTAACACCAGGTGGGCTGTGAGCTCATCCACTCATCAAAGCGAGAAAAAAAAATTAAGAAAAAAATAAGTATCTGAGATAGATATTTTTTTGTTTAGTTACGACAGTCCGTAAGAAAATATTTTTAATTTATTCATCAAACAACATACGAATATCCATCGTCCGATATTTATTTCAGCCCTTAATAAAAAAAGAATCCTGTTTTCATAAATGATGTGCTAGGAATGTGTTTGGATAGTGGCCTTTTATGGTACTCGTAATAAAATATTTGGGGCGGGTGGATCGTGAGTAACCGCAGTCACGACTTTCCAATGCGCTTCCAAAATATTTCTACAGTATGATTTGTATATTAATGATTAAATGGGTAAGAAATAAAATAACAGAAATAAAACAAAAACAAATTGTTTGAAAACACAAGGCGGGTACAGGGAACACAACACCGGAAATACCTACTGTTTGAAATATGTATATATTTGAAACACTGCTGAGTTTCAGCAACCCCATAGTGTTATACGAAATACATGCAGAATATGGAGGAGCCCATAGAGCCACGTTTTACTTCCGAATATAGCTAATTAATTAATAACTTCTATAGATAGGTATGCTTCAGATTGTCTGAAGAGCACCGAAGGGACTAATAAGTAAAGGCGTAAGGAAGAGGTATACCTACGTATCTCATAACATAAAATAGCTAGTTTCGGAAAAAATATTACCATGTAGCAACTCTCATCTTCTTTTGATTTTTAGCCAGACTACTATCACATAGCATCCTATAACTTACGTGGAAAAATAATGTGTGGAAGCCCACCTCGGATGCCCTTCACGGATAAGAAAATTATAGAAACACTACGTGGCTTAGTTAGCTTTGGTCTATACGACCTCACATATTCCATTGTACACTTCTATATTGGTCCTTCTCCTCCTAGGTGTTGAGAAGATACATCCTTAACGGATTTAACAGTAGGTAGTTGAACAATAATACGACGCGATTAAATTTTAAATTAGATATTCCTCGTGGATGAACAGAGGTCTGTATTGATCTAGCGATCTTTCTTGATCTAATTGAATAAAGCTCTAAGCAAATCTAATGTAAATAGGTTTTGTCTATTTATAATTTAAGAACTATTCATGAACGATCAACAAGTAAACAATTTAATGAATTTAAAATTACATTTGAATCCGAATAAATTTACATCGCAGTACCTCTGCGGCGTCGGCTGCAAATTTATATTTCATAAATTGACTTACAAAAGTTTACGCTTATATTAATTTACGGAAAAGTCTCAGCTCGACTCATTGGTAGTGCCCGAGTTTTATGTGGTAATTATGCTAAATTATTGCCCATTCAGCATTTACCATTTCAGCATTACCATTTTTATATATTATCTTTTTGAAGGCAACTGTATCATTGATTTTATTTCAGTATAAATAATTTTGAATGATTTCAGGACAAAGGATAGGTGAATTCCGTCGGCGCGTTTTATGTGTACGTTTCTCTGATATAGCTACCGCAAACATGTTCATGTTAGCCCGGAATTCTAAATATTGTAAGATTATAATGTAACGAATTTAAAATTTCTTCCTGAATAAATTGTTTGGCTACAAATTGAGCGATCCAATTACAATTAATGATGATACTTTAGAATTGTTAGGTACCTCTAGAATGAGATTTATGCTTTCTATCAAATTTTAGGCTATTGAAAGTCCTACATTATTTTGTATTTCAGTATATATGGTAAAATCCGTATTTCACTTCTATCGCGCTCATGTGGCAAGGTGGGTGGCGGCATTAATGTGCTATGCACTTCAATATTTAGGACCAAGTGAGGTCACGAGCTCATCTACTCCACTATCATAAAAGACAAGTCCGCTACCGTTGAATAGACAATTAATCTAAGCACTTTGCTAACGAAACGACTTTTGGGAAGTAGCGTTACAAGAAAGTACTAATGGCGCGATGCCAGAATGAGAATGTCTCTGGTCGAAAAAATCTTGTTCCAATAATCCTGCTATCCTATTATTCCCATTTGCCCTACATAGTCAGCTCAAGTACGAAAACACGTTTCATGATAACAACAACAAAACGCTGTCGGTGAATTCATCGTGTTGTAACTATAATTGAGACCTTAGAACTTATATCTCAAGATGGGTGGCGCATTTACGTTGTAGATGTCTATGGGCTCCATAACCACGTAACACCAGGTGGGCTGTGAGCTCGTCCACTCATCTAAGCAATAAAAAAAAAAAAATTTAAGTTCATTACCTGAATTTTGACAAAATCCCTGATCGTCTTATCTATGTGATGATTTTACTGTTTACATAGAAAAAGTTCGCGATTCTCCATGCTACGTACTTACGGAGTTAAGGTCAGAAAGAAATAAAAGAAACGATGTTAAATTACTATTAGAAAAAAAATTATAAACGGTTAATAAATAAAATTACCTAGATGACAACAAACCACAATAACTTTCTATTGAAAATATGAACTTCTACAAATAAAATTATACATACACAAATGTTTTTATCACTCACGGATAACCAGAAACTGAAATAATGAATTGGCTTATATTATTACAAATTTTTTCGCCCTTAAAATACGTAGCTTTTTTTGACAAGCTTGCGAAATGATTATTCGTCATTATTAAAATTATAAATTCATTTACACTATTGGCTTGATATCACCATAGAACTTCACAGGGTTAAAATTGAAAATGGCTGTTCTACTTGTTGCCGTTCATCTTGGTGCTGTCCATGGACAGCAGAGACTCACTATCACGCGAAAAGCCTCCTTATTTTTCTTTAGTCTTTAAAATGTGGTTTCACTGTTACATCGCCGTTCTAAAATGTAAATCAGTATTTAACTTAAGTCATTAGATAGAGCAATCTTCATCTAACAGTTCACAAGTTTTTGCGCGATACGAAACGCGAACTTGCAGAAACAACAACGGGAATTGAGATCGAGAAAGTGTTTTTTATTATAAACAATGCTGTTACGGCCAATATTGCTTTTTTGTTTTCATCTTGAGTCGTCATTACACCTGGTGTTAAGTGGTTACTGGAGCCCATAGACGTCTACAACGTAAATGCGTCACCCACCTTGAGATATAAGTTCTAAGATCTCAGTATAGTTACAACGGCTGCCCTACCCTTCAGACCGAAACGCATTACTGCTTCACTGCAGAAATAGGCGGGGCGGTGGTACCTACCCGCGCGGACTCACAAGAGGTCCTACCACCAGTAATTACGCAAATTATAATTTTGCGGGTTTGATTTCTATTCCACGATGTTATTCCTTCACCGTGGAAGTCAATCGTAAACCTTTATTGAGTATGTATTTCACTAGAAAAATTGGTACCCGCCTGCGGGATTCGAACACCGGTGCATCGCTCAACACGTATGCACCGGACGTCTTATCCTTTAGGCCACGACGACTTCATGCCTGCCTGCCTGCCTACGTAATGGTTCTTTTTTTACTTTAGTAAAAACTGAAAAAACGCAACTGCCCGCAGATATTTAAATGCCTGGTGGACGGAAGCCTTAACTGTTGACGATGCGGTCGAGGTGTACAAAAGTCCTAATTGCCACCGTTTCGCAGCTCTGTGACTAAACGTACTTTTTGGATGAACGAAGCCGCAGGAACAAAGCTACGTAATTACGGGCCTTTGTCATAAAAACCGGTATTAACTTTTAAGGATTCAACCTGACTGTGCTTGGCGACGGTCGTGAAACATTTTCCTTGCCGACGTAACACGTTTTAGATTGGATTTTAAAGTAAAACCATTCAAAAACGTAAAATCATATTTATCTCAGTAATCGTGGTTGAAAATTTTGTATTATGATATTTATGACGTAACAGATATGCTGCAGGAAAGTCGTGTCCAATGGTACGGCCACATAAACCGCAGGCATCCAGACTACACCGAAATTAGATGCTTCTACGCACTAAGTCGAAGATCCTGCGGTAGGCCCAAAATACGCTGATTAGATGTGATAAATGCGAGTATGGAGAAGAATAACCCCACCCCCATACGGAAGGATGCCGTAGACCGGGCAAAGCGGAGGAGTTTAAAGTAGGAAAGCGGACCCTATACCTTATATAGCGGGCATTATACCGGGAAAACGCTAGGAAGAAGGAAAAGACAATATAATTACAAATAGCGAATTCGATTGAAAAGTTAATTTGCATTGTTCTTTAACAAATATATCGATTATCCATGTCCCTGACACTGCACATTCATTATGTTCATAACCAGTACTTAATATTTTCTGCACCTGCTCTGTAACATTAAATAATTGTATCTGAGTCACGTAGCTGCTAATTACGTAC